AAAGAGAGAGAGATAGAGAGAGAGAGAGAGAGGGAGAGTGAGAAAAGAAAAGAAAAGAAAAGAAATCCTCAGAGGAAGAACTCAGGTCCCTTTGAACTCTTAGATCAGACAGGGCAAGACTTCCTCAGTCTCTGCATAAGTAAGGCCAGCACCCCTACTCAGAGCCATGGAAAATGGTTCTTTCTCAGCACCTCAAAAAGATTTTTGGGGACCAGATCTCTCAGTGGGGGAATGTGGGAACAGTGGGAGCTGCAGAAACTACTCTTCTTTACCCACTTCAGCTTGGGTCATGCCCCAGGGTCATCCTACCTTAATCACTCCCCTCCACATACTTGTACACGGGCAGCACCCTAGGAGCTTGCTATACAACCCTAGACCAAAGCACATGCTACCCCCCTTTTCTCATTCCTGAGCCCCAAGGCCTGATTTGTCTGTGTGACATGCAGTGTTCTTTTTCTGTCATCCCAGCAACATTTCTGTTTGTGAACTTCAATAAACATAGCTACTTTTTACTATTGTTGGAACCACCACCAAAGGTGCTGGGTTTGATCCCTAGAACCAACAACAAATAAAAACAATGCCCCGGACTGGAGATTTAGTGCAGTGGTGCTGCTGCCTACACTGAAAGCGTCAAGGACCAGAGTTCAATTCCTGGTACAAACAAACAAACAAACAAACAAAAAGCCCCCCAACCTATTAAACAAATAATATCTCAGTCTGCTTAGACAAATATATGCGTATTACCAAAGAAATAACCCTGAAGGAAATGAAGTGATCTCACCAATCATAATAAACTGAGAGTCTGGAGTAAATGAAGCCTCTAGTGTGACAGCTTTGCTGTTGGCATAACCCTGAAACAGAGCAGAGTAGTTCTCTTGTTACAGAGCCACCAATAAAAACTAGTGCCTAGAAACACCAAACTAGCACATGTATCTCACTCCTTCCCATGCAACCCTCTCTTTGTCATGTACCATGCAACCAAGGTTCCAAAAGTGGCCGCCAACCTGTACAACCCACTCCCTAACCCCAACTCCATATTTGGGGGGGGGGCGCACAAAAAAACCTGTTGTTAAGAATTACTTTATTGTAAACACCAAACGTGGGTGGGTCATTTAGTAAACATGAATGTCTTAATTCAAAGGAAATAGCCAACTTGCAGGAAGAAAATGCAAACCCATACTATAATCAGTGAACCAAGGATAATTATTGGTCTTTACTAACCAGCTAACACAATTCTTGGCCCAGGAGATATGAAGATGGTAACAGGCTGTTAACTTACCCCAAATGTGTGCATCACCACTCCCTTGAATGCGTCAATGAGACGGATGAAGCTGCCATTGGTGGAGATGAGTATGAGCTTGCCATCATTACTGAACTTAAGTCCTGTCCATTCACAAGTCCGATCATACTGCATCTTAAAAGTTGCAAATGGCCCCTGCAAAAGATAAAAATAGCAATCTCCCCACCAGGCCCAAGGCACATAAATAATTCCTTCTGTCAAGAGTCAACTCCCATTCTATCCCTTTATATTATTTTTTACTGGGAAAGATGAGGATGCCACTGCCATCTAGTATCTACCAAGTACCTCCTCTATCACAGAAAAGGCCCTTAACATCCACCTTAGCTGAGTATGGTAGCCCATGCAATCCCAATAATTGGGTGGTTGAAGCAGCGGGGATCAAGAATTTGAGACCAACTTGGGCTACAGTACAAGTTCAACACCAGTCTAAACTACGTGGTGAGACCCTGTCACTCACAAACAAACAAACAAATAAACAAACAAAACCATCTCATACTTAACAACTTCCTAATGAGATAGCCCAAAGACTCAACAATTTACCTTGTCAAAAGAACGAAGGTCATAAAGCTTGACCATTTCAGAGTTGACACCAGCAGCAAAAATTAACCCTTCTGGATCAAAAGAACAAACTGGCTTGCCCTGTAGATGCATAAGACCCTGAGAGAAAAGAAGATAAAGTTAACAGATGCCAGGCATACACTTGTAACAAGTGGTACACAGCTGTAATTCCAGTACTTTGGAAGCTGAGGCAGGAAGATCACTGCAAATTCAAGGCTGGCCTCAGCTACAGAGTAAGTCCAAGGTCAGCCTGAACTACATAAACTTTGTCTCTTAAAAAAAAAAAAAGTTAATGGATACAGGATCTACCACTAATCCACCACTATATAATTTGTTTTCCCCATGAAAACTAGCAATATGAACAGAAACCTAACCTACCTACAGAACAGAATAAGGAAATAAGAATCTGGGCCAGGGATTTAGCTCAGTGGTTTTGCAAGCCAAGGTCCTGAGTTTGATGTCCAGTATCAAAACAAAACAAAACAAAACAAAATAGGGCATAACAGATTTTTGATCAGAGTTCAAATAAAAACATATCACCTGTAGACTAAGGCTTTAGGAATAGTGTTTTGTTTTAATACTAAACTACGGAGTCTAAAGCAATCTGCACTTCATTAGGATATTTGATTTCTAAGCAGCAACCTACCAGGAAAACAGATTTTGTTTGACATTTAAAAAGATTCTGGGCCGGGGATTTAGCTCAGCAGTTCCGCCGCTTGCCTTGCAAGCACAAGGACCCGAGTTCGATCCCTGGTACCAATCAATCAATTAAAAAAAAAAAAAAAGAAAAAGAAAAAAAGAAAAAAGATTCTGGGACTCCAGAATGGAACCACTTCATCTCTTTCTTGAAAAGGACAGATGATAATAATATTGCAAAAAATGCTCAAAAAGCTTAACTCTGAGGTACCATTACTCACCTGGCAGTTAGGAGACCGGAGATCCCAAAGTCGAATGGTCTTATCAAGAGACCCAGAAATGAAAGTGTCATCCACAGGTGACATGGATAAGGCCACCACCCTGCAATGCATAAAAATAAATAGGAGTTAAAGCAAAATGAGCAAAAAATGTGAACTATAAGCCATTCTGGCTACTTACATATAGCTGTTCTCCAAAAATTGCCATTCAAGAAAACACAAACAAGCATATCTGGCATAATCTAAGACAAGTAGTATGCAAAAAGTAATGAAAAAAAACTTGAAGTCCCAGTTAAAAAATGATTTTAGGGCTGGGGATTTAGCTCAGCGACACCACCACACGTGCCTCACAATTGCAAGATCCTGAGTTCAATCTCCAGTACAAAAAAAAAAAAAAAAAAAAAAAAGGTTCTAACACAAATCTAATACTATTTCCCATCCATTATAGCATAGTGTAGTAAAAGTAGATACCAAATGTTGATAAACATGAGGATGGTGGAGAAACAGGAATTGCTGATGGAAATGTAAAGTGATACAAATAGCCTGGAAACCAGTTTTTCCAAGAGTATTTTATATACATCCCAGAAATTTTAAGCCTGGAATTGAAAATGTATGTCCACAAAAAAAGTACACATGTATCACAGCATCACTACTCATAACAGCCAAAGAGTAGAAACAACCCAAATATCTATTACCTAGTAAACAATAGGTGGTATACACATACAATGCAATAGAATATTATTTGACAATAGAAAGAAATGAAGTACTGAGTCATGTGACAATGTTTTTGTTTTTGATTTTTGGAGGTTTTTTTTTGGGGGGGGGGGAGGTTGAGACAAGGTCTCATTATATAGTTGAGACTGACCTGGACCTCACTATGTAGTCCAGGCTGGTCTCGAACTCACAGCAATTCTCCTGCCTCAGCCTCCCAAGTGCTGGATTATAGGCGTGCGCCACCACGCCCGGCTGATTTTTGTGTTTTTTTGAGACAGGGCCTCATTATGTAGTTGAATTCACTATGTAGTCCAGGCTGGCCTCAACTCACAGTGGTCCTCCTGCCTTAGCCTCCCCAGTACTTAGAGGTGTGTACTACCACACCTGGCCTTATATGATAGTATAGATAAATCTTGCAAACATCGTGTTAAGTGAAAGAAGCCAGACACAAAAGGCCATATATTATCTGAGTCCATTTACAGAAAACATTGAGAGTAGGTAAATATAGACACAAAAAGTAGATTAGTGATAAACTTTGTCCAACTCTTGAATACACAAAAAAGACCACTGATTTGTGTATTTTAAAAGGGATACTTTATGGCATGTGAACTATATCTCAATAAACAAGCTAGGGAGCCAGTGATTTAGCTCAGTGACTCCATGTCTGCCTTGCAAGCACAAGGGCCTGAGTTTGATCCCTGCTACCAAAAACAAAAGACAAAAAACCAAGCTAGGTATGGTGGCACATACCTGTAATCCCAACACTATGGAAGGCTGAGGCAGGACTGCTGTGAATTTGTGGCCAGCCTGGGATACAAAGACCTACCCTACCCCATCCCACCCGACCCAACTCAGGATTCCTGAACAAAATGACAGTGGACTACACTAATGTTTCCCAATTGGAGTGGCATCAGCATTACTTGGAGGGTGAGTTAAAATTTAGATTAATTTACTCCCATGTTTCCAATCCAGCATGGCTGGGCAGAGTCTGATAATCTGAGTTTCTTACAAGCTTCCAGTGAAGGCTAAGACTGCTGGTCTGGAACCACACTTAAAGAGATCTACAGGCCTGTGCTAACATAACAGTAATTATATTCCTGATATGAGCCTCTTTTTTTAAAAACTTTTTTTTGGTACCGGGGATTGAACTCGGGTCCTTGCGCTTGCAAGGCAGGCCATCAAACCGCTGAGCTAAATCCCTGGCCCTTGAGCCTCTTAATATGAAAATCCCAAATACGAAATACTCCAAAATCTAAAATTTTTACCAACACTATACCAGAAGCAGACCAAACCCTATATGAGGGGTCACAGTTATCATGCAGGTGCACCAAAAATACTGTATAAAATTAAATTCAGGCTATAAAGGAATATATGAAACACAGATGAGTTTCATGTTTAGCCCAGATTCCTATCCCCAAGATATCTCATTATGTAAATTATGTCTCATTATGCAAATATTCCAAAACCCAAAATACTTCTGGTCCCAAGCATTTCAGACAAGGGATATTCAACCTGTATTATCAAGTCTAACAATAAAAAATATATTTTTTAAATTTTTTCGGGAGGGGGGCACTATGTAGTTCAGGCTGGCCTTGAACACAGGTGTATGCCACCACTCCCAGTAAAAATATTTCTTTATCCAGTACAACTCAATTAACATTTGCACTAGCTCCTCAGTTTAAGATACCGTGAAGTCAAAATCTGAAGGACTAATAAAAAACAGTGAGTAAGGCTGGGGATTTAGCTCAGTGGTGCCACTGCCTACCTCACAAGTGCAAGGCCCGGAGTTCACAGCCCGGAGTTCAATCCCCGGTACCAAAAAACCAAAAAACCAGTGAGTAGAAAGCACAGCTAATTTTTATGCTACAGTATTCGGCTCAAGTGTGCAGAGAAGGTCTATCCTGATGCAAAACACTCTATCTGCTGGGAAGTACAGGGATTATAAGAACAAAGAACTTGACCCTAAGGAAGCTTGTTTTTTTTTTTTGTTAGTAGGGGGATTGAACTTGGGACCTTGCATTTGCCAGGCAGGCAGCAGAACCACTGAGCTAACTCCCTGGCTAGGAAGCCTGTGTCTGGGCAACACAACTCCAAGAGATTACAACAAAAGTGAATTTTTAATGTTATACTGATTAATGGGCTTCACTCTGGCAGATTTGTACAGGCATGTAACACACTTTACCCCCTCTGTTGTCCTCCTTGCCCTGCCCTACTAGTTTCACATGGGGGACACTTTCAGTGGGCAGAAATGATTAACAGTAAACAAGTATGAACAGTTAGAGAGGGGAGTGTGTAGGTTCTTGTTTGTTTGTTTTTTGAAACAGGGTATTGCTCTGTGAACTCTCTATGTAGCCCAGGATTGCTTTGTGGCAATCCTGCTTCAGCCTCCCAAGTGATGGAATTAAATTGCAGGTGTGCACCACCATGCACAGCTTAGATTCTTCTTTTAAATTTGATAGTGAAAAGAAATGGGTGATAAGGTCAATAAATAAATTTAAGATAATGAATTCTGAATAAATTTGTGGACATCAAGGTAAAGGTCAATTATGAAGATAGAAGCAAGAAGAAAGAAAGAAGTTAGTTTTGTCAGGGAATAAAGGGTACTCCTTCAAAGAAGGGGCTCCAAGAAGAAAGGAATTTAGGTGAAAGAGAAGTTCAAAAGAACTCATTCTGGATGGTGTTGATGTTGTCACAAAAGGAGAGATCAATAGCTGGCATGGTGGTGCATGCCTACAATCCCAGCATGTAATGGAGGCTGAGGCAGAAGGATCTTGTGAGTTCAAGACCAGGCTACATAGTGAGTTCCAGGTCAGTCTCAACTAGAGTGAAACCTGTCTCAAAAAACCAAAAGTTTTAAAAAGGAGAGATTAAAGTAATCTAAGAGTCAGATAAGAAGTTGAGTACTTGAAAAGACTGGAAAGAATTTCAAATAATGCCAGGCCTGGTGGCCCATGGCTGTAATACTAGCGCTTGGAAGGCTGAGGCAGGAGGATTGATTTGCATTTGAGGCCAGCCTGGGCTACATCATAGTGAGTGGAAGGTCGGTTTCAATTAGAGAGTGAGACCTTGTCTCAAAAAAACAAAAACAAAACAAAAAAATTCAAACTGTATCAACTCTCTCTCTCTCTCTTTTTTTTTTTGGTTTTTTGAGACAGGGTCTCACTATGTAGTTGAGATTGACCTGGAACTGTGTAGTCCAGGCTGGTCTCGAACTCACAGAGATCTCCTGCCTCAGCCTCCCAATAAACTGTATCAAATCTTAATTGCAAGAAGTACATATGTAAACAACAGTTTGAATACAATAAGCAAGTCATCTTGTCATGAGCCATTCTGTCTGGTACTTCACAGAAACCAACTCAGAAGCACAATTTTAACAGGTAGCCCTCAGTGTATCTGTTATCAGGGCTTCTTCCTAGACTCTTAAATAGTCCTGGATTGCTGTACATTTATAAAAGAAAGCAGGAAATACCCCAAGTGACTGAAATATTTGACAAGGAAAGATGTGTTTAACATTTCAACTAAAACTTGAAAAATTGGAGGAAAAAAAAATTGAGGGAAGTAGAACAGAACAAAGCAAACTGATTCATAATACAGAATAAAGAGGTAAATTTCTTGATTTTAAAAAGTAACAAAGGACAGTATTTTGCTTTCACATCTTTATTAACATCTTCAAATGGAGGTTTAAGGGTGCAGCTTGGTTGTATAGCTTGTGTCTAGCATAAGTAAGGTCTAGGTTAAATCTTTAGCACGCACACAGGCACATGCACATACACACACAAAAAAACTGCAAAGGGAACATTTTTATGTAAAGGCCTGCTATGGGGGCCATCTATATTGTAGGCTTTAGAAGCATAAAAGATTCTTTTATTAAGAGATACTTAAGGGGCCAGGGATTGAGCTCAGTGGTTCTGGCACCTGCCTTGCAAGTACAAGGACCTGAGTTCAATCTCTGGTACCAAAGAGAGAGAGAGAGAGAGAGAGAGAGAGAGAGAGAGAGAGAGAGAGAGAGAGAGAGAGAGAGAGAGAGAGAGAGAGAGAGAGAGAGATACCTAAGGTGTATCACTTCGAGTTCAAGGCCAGCCTGGGTTACATAGTGATTTCAAGGCCAGCCTGAACTATATAGTGAGACCTTGTCTTATATAAAATAAATAAATAAATAAATAAATAAAATAAAAATGGAGGTGAGGAGGAAGGAGAGAGACTGACCTAAGATCTGACATTCCTAAATGTCATCCGTATGTTTTGGTTTTGGAGATGAAATGTAGGGCCTTCCACATGCAAAGCATAGGCTCTATCAATGAGCTACAGCCTCCAACCTCTTATTTATAAATGAGATTTCAGTTATCTCTAAAGCCATACCTGTCCCCCTTCCAAAACAACACTAAATCAAGAGCTGACTTTTTGAATCAGCCTCAGCCTTCTGCCTGTCTCCAGAGTGCTGAGATTACGGGCATGTACAACCATGCCCAGTTGACTATTTAAGGCATAGTAATAAAAAAAGTTGAAGAAAAATGTCAAACAGCAGTAAAGTGGCAGCTTCAGATCAACAGTAAAATCTCTCCACTTATCTATTCTGTGTTACCTCAGGGACAAAATAACTCATTGTACAATACTTGGTTCTTACCTCTTGTTATGTCCAGGAAAGTATCTGATATATTTGTTGTCATGCAAGGACAGGTAGCGAATCGTATCTGTAGGAAGATAAATAAGGTATGATGATATTGTACTACTTAAAAAATGAATTTACTTTGCATTTTCATCTTGAGAAGACAAGGTTAAAGAACCAACTGTAACCCATTATTCAAGTAAAGTGTAAATTTGTAATGGTGAATAATTCGTCTTGATAGCTAAAGAGTGGGTACATAGATTTTCGCATAATTCAGAAGCAGAATTCTAAGTTGACAGCATGTAAAGCAAAGTTAAAAATTTATGTTTTAGGGGTAGAGGTACAACTCAGTGATGCAGTGTCTGGCTAGCATGCATGAGGCCCTGGGTCCAATTTCTAGTACCACATATTAAAAATTAAAAAAAAATTTTTTTAAATCACTTTTACTCGCAATCTTTGGCTTCTTCAGAATAATGCAACTTGCCCTGCAAATACAACCTGGCCAAAAGAAAAAAAAAAAAAAAAAAAAAAAAT